GGGAAGACTGAGAGAGATCATGGGTTCATTGAGCTCCTGAGAAAAGTGGAAGGAATATATGCCAAGGAAAGGTTTATATAGAGGGAGAAGTTGGTCATGTCCAAAATACATTTAACTACCCCATAAACTTCCCAAGTAATTAAAAACAGGCTAGAATGGAGGAAAAAGCAAAACCAGCTGTGGTTGGAGAGGCAGTAGAGTGTAGCACTTCTGAGCAAGAACTCTGCAGCTGGGCACGTGGCTTCAAATCCCAGCTCTACCACGAACCCTGGCTTTGTGAAGTTGGGCAAGTTTTTCAATCTCTCTGTGTCTCAGTTTTCTCACCTGTAAGGTGGAGATAATGATAGCCCAACTTCAGGATTGTTGAGAAGATTAAATAATGAGACATGTAAAGAGCTTAGTACAGTGCCTGGCACAAAGTAAACATTGCTATTATTAGGAGGACTAGGGCTTTTTCCTCCTCTGCATGCGTATGAAGATATAGGAGTTGGTCTGATGTCATGTTTTTGTCTATTTCTCCTGGCAGCTGAATGCACCGTCATGGGTATCCCCAGTGTGACAACAAACCTCTCCGGCTTTGGCTGTTTCATGCAGGAGCACGTAGCTGATCCGACTGCTTACGGTGAGGTTTTTCATCATTAAACCAACCCTGGGAGACATGACCTCTAAACAGACAAAGCACTGCATCTTTACAGAGCCCAACTCTAAAGCTACCCTTATAATTAAACTAATGTTTGTACTTCTTGTGTAATTAAAAGTATATTTAATTATGTGGTCCATAGATAGCATAAGAATGCTATTAATATTAAATATATTGCCCGAAAGACAAACTGCAAAAAGAATGCAAAACCTGGACAAACATTTCCCCATTTTTTTTTTCTGTGAACTCTGATTTGGCCCTCTATTTCCTAGAAGTGTTATTACAATAACCATGGTCTTAGAATACATATTGGTCATTACATAGAGAGTACATGTATTGTTATTATTAAAGGTCAAGTTAATTGACCTTTATGCAAGGTCAATTTGCATAAATTGTTTAAGATAGCAGGAGAATTTGCATATCACCATCTATCTGTCCGTGTCGCCTAGCAGCAAGAAGAGTTGGAATGGGATGGATTCTCTGCCTACACTTTGCACTGTTCTCCTTCCTTGGGCTAGAGTTGTGGTTTTCAGCCATGGCTACACTGTGCAACATTAGGGAGCCTAAAAAGCACTGATACCCAGGTAGAGTCTGTAGCTCCGTGGAGAATCGCTGATACAGTGTACCCTTAGACTGCCAGATTTTTTTCAGGAAGATCCACTTTGTTGGCTGTGTGTTGCTGATGGTTGTGAACTGTTAGAAAGTCAAAGAAGAAATAAAACTTTAGAAGGGAAAAGCTAAAGTGGA